AAGTTTTGAAATGATTTATGATATGTCAATATTAAATTCGCTTCCGCAATATTGTTAAATACTCCGTACTGTATATGTTATGAAAAATATTATTGAGATTAATAAAGTGTGTTTGAAAAGTTTTAAATTTTACGATTACCAAGTTAAATACTTTAGTCCGAATGGGGCTGCAGACCTGGACGGATTAGGGTGTTACACACACACCCAAAATTCGTTTCCTTACACGCGCACACACACCCGATTAGATGATCGTTTAGGAATTACCTTGGCCAACCCATGATCTCGTGGTTGGCAGGTTCCAGTCTACCTGAATGGAGTGCTGATATCTTGGTGTGATTTGTGTTTGTTCCGGTAACGGAATGTGGACTTTCTTCTTTTTGTCAAATTAGAAGAAATAGTATGGTTTCTTTTGTGCATTGTCCCGTGGAGATTGTTTATGATACGTATATCCTTTTCCAAACGATTTCTTTTTGTTAACACTAAATATGTTGTGTGTTTCATTATAGGTGAAGTGCCTATGTCTGGTAAAACACACGGGAGCTATGTGTCCTACCCTATTGCAATAATGGCATACTACGTTTGGGTTGAACATATGCCTAGGTTGATAATAGCTAAGGGGCCTAACCATGTTTGTCCTATTTTGAGAAAAAGATGGTTTATGCATGTTTTCAAAAGGATCATTTCTAGGTGTTCTCATATTGTCTCTTCTATTTTGAGAAAAATTATTTTTATGCACCAAATCATTTTCATAATTTTTCTTAGGTTGTCTACCATGAACGTTTTCATTCCTAGGTTTTTGTCTGGGTTGTCTAGTGTTCTTAGATTGACTAGGTTTTCTATTAACTTGATTTTTAGCTTTCTTACGTTGAGCCTTAGAAGGTTGTTTAGGTATTTGCTCAACGTTTTCTCTATCCTTAGCTTCGTTTTTATTAAAACCTATTCCTTCTTTAGAAAAGTGCATAGTGTCAAGGAGTAAATTAAGATCTTTGTGCGGGGTATTAAATTTCTTAACTGTACTCTCAAGTTTTGTGACTTGTTCTTTCAAAGCTATGCAAGTGTCACAATGTTTCGTAGAGTTCTCGGGTTTGTCAGCGCTTCTTTTACCATAAAACTTATTTTCCTCTTTTAGTTTTTCATTTTCCTTTTGAAGTTTTTCAAGGTCAGTTTCAAGATTAGAAAAATGTTTCTTTAAAGCTTTGTTGGTTTTAGAAGCACTAACAAACTCGTTATTAAGCACTTGGAGAGCTTCTTGCATTTCTTCAAGAGAATAAGAAACAGTAGAAGAATTACATACCTCTTGGTTTTCGCCGTTGTCGGACTCCTTTTCTTCTTGAGCTATGAGACAAAGGTTTGCTTCTTCGTCTTCGTCTTTCTCGCTTGACTCATTGCCAGAGTCGCCACCCCAAGAGATGTATGCTCTTTGCTTTTTGAAGTGACGAGCATTCCTTCCGCTTCTTGGGCATTTGTTCTTGATGTGCCTGGCTTCACCACATCCATAGCACACAGGGCCATCCTTAACCTTTTCTTTCTTCCTTAGAAGCTCGCAAAACTTTTTCATGACAAGCTTGACTTCATCATCGTCGCTTGAGTCATTCATCGTTGGTTCTTTGAAGGCTTTTAATGCTATGCCTTTCCTTTGGTCATTCAAAGACGGGTTAAGTATAGTAGATTCATAAGTTTTTAAGTTACCTCTTAAACCGTCGATGGTGACATTTGATGTGCCAATTGACTCATAGATGGCATCGGCCTTAGATCGCCATTCGGATGTCAAGCTCCGTAGGATCTTTCGTACAAGATCCCTGTCGGTGTAAGTCTTCTTCAATGCATGAAGATCGTTGACTATCTTGGAAAATCGGTCGAACATGTCGTCAATCTTCTCGTGCTCCTTCATCGTGAACAACTCATATTCTTGGGTGAGGAAGTCAATATTGGCTTCACGTACTTGGTCCGTTCCTTCGTACGTCACCTCAAGTTTATCCCACATCTCCTTGGCGGTTGAGCAGCAAAAGATCTTGCGGTAGTCATCAGGATTTACGGCACAATAAAGCATGTTTATTTCCTTTGCATAGTTCTCGACCTTTTTGATGTCCTCGGCATCAAACTCATCTTCGGTCTTGGGGATCAACTTGTCCTCGGATCAAACTCGTCTTCATCGGCACCTCTTCCCTGTTTTTGATAACCAACCATAATTGGAAATTCGTGGAACGAATATAGAGTCTCATTCGTTCTTTCCAATATGTATAATTGGTTCCATCAAAAAGAGGTGGCCGTGTAGTTGATTGACCTTCTCCAATCCCTGCATAAAGATTTCTAGGAGAAGAACCCATGATCGCTTTACTCTCAAACAGTTAAGTTTGGACGCGAGTTAGGCTCCGATACGAATTGTTAGAATAAGTGACGAACGCTAGAGGGGGGGGTGAATAGCGTTTGATCGTAGAAATCACATGAATAAAAAATTAAGAACGTGAAAAGTAAAGAGCGTAGAAAGCGTAAAGGGAGCACACCAAGATTTATACTGGTTCAGCACAACGTGTGGCTAATCCAGTCTCCCAAAAGACTCTCTCGAGCTACACTACTTTCTCGTTAAGCTTACGGGTGCTTAACAAACCGTTACAACCTGAGAACTCGAGTCCCACGAGTCTCAACAACACTTGCTCGGAGATACCGCACTCCAAGACTTCAACCCGAAGGAAAATACCTTTCCTTTGTACAACCAAGGGAAACAAGCTTCCCTTAACATGTATACAACACTAAGACACTCAAGAACAAGACTCTCCTCAAGAGTGGATATTGAGTAAAATATATACGCTCAAGAACAACTCAAACTTCACACAAGTTGGCTCTAGAAAGCTATGGAAAATAATGTGGTTTGGATGCAATGGTAATATGAATATTGTGAAATGAATTGATGTGTAAAGCAGACCCAAACACCCCTTTTTATAGTGCCAAAATAGGCTCCAACGGACCAATACATTAAAGGGGTGATTCGCTTGATTTATGGGATTGAATAAATTTGAGATCTGCATGATATTGGCTTCCCATCAATGTTTAGACTCACCCATCGCTGGTAAGCCAATTTTCCTTCAGTTTTGAAGCCAACGGTCACCTACCCATCGATGGGTAAATGCTTCCCATCGCTGGGTGGGAGGTTGACTTTCAAACAAGGAAAGAATGAGTCTTAAATGGCTTGCAACGGTCATGCCTTCCCATCGATGGTTTAGCCTTACCATCGCTGGGTTCCCATCGATGGGATAAGTTCCCCGTCACTGGGTAAGGTCGTTCTGCCTTATGAAAATGTTGGACCAAGGCTTAAACAGCGATGGGTAGAACTTCCCATCGCTGTTTGGCATGGTTCTGGAAATCAGTTGGGCTGAAGGCTGTTTACCCATCACTGGGTAGAATGATTCTGGAATCCCGGGATCACTTTGTTGTATTTAGGTGCCCTAGCGGCAATCAAATACTTATGTAACTGTACACTTCATCATGAATGAAAGGCCTTGAAGTATGTTTTATATCTCGTGTAACATAACATAGCTTCAGTCCATAGACGATAGCGCTTCAGTAACATAGATGAGGACTACGATGTTCTGATTATGAGACTGTTACTTCTTAACGAAGGCTATGTCTAGAATATCCCTAGTCGCACTTTATGATAATACGGACGTCATAACGTATCAAGACTAGTACGTACGAGATGAGATAGTTGCGTCTCATAGACTATAGGTATTGTGATATCTTAATCTGTACGTAGGTGCATATTATATCGATAATATGTGACTAGATTGACCCATCTTGAGAATACTGCATGGATCTACAGTAATGTGTTTATCAGTATTCTCAAATCGACCTTGCTATAACTATCCTCAGACTTGAAGTTATTACATTCTCTGATATGTGGGGCCGTATGCTTTGATTCATAACTAATGCTATCTGAAATACTGGTAGACGTACAGTTATGCATTGGGTATGCCGCTAAGCATATTTAGAGATGTGAATAACAGATACAGGATCTGTCCCTTCTACTGTATAGAAGTATAATGTCAATGGGCCCACTGAATAGTAGGACTTGGGAAAGTGCATGGCCATGCCCAGATATGTCGCTATCTAGAGACTGATAAATATCTGATCCCTGCCAGTCTACTTGAGATTCAGTAACAGCTGATTTAACTATACAAGNTATTAATTTTATTAATATCATTGCCAGTGTTATGGATACCTAAAGGGTCACACACTTAGGACTTGTAAGGGAGTAGTATACTACACTAGTGGGAGTAATATTAAATATATAGTTGTGATAATTTTATACATATATATGTATTTCGAAAATACATATGTATTTTAAAATTATATTTTGTTTGTGTCATTTTAATTATATGATAATTATATTTTGACAAAACAAATTTTATTATATATATATGTAGCGCCGAATGTGTGTGTATATATATATATATATTAATTTTCATCATTTTAATTATATGATAATTATTGATGTCAAAATAAAATGTAATGCATTTTAATATGAGATGGCTGAAAATATCAAAGGGAAAAATACAAGACATAAATTGATTTTCTACCTAATGATATATTTGATTGATATAATCAAATATTTGATTAACAAAAGGATATTTATCTTGTTGTGTTGGTTGGGGACATTACATTAATCCTAATTCGTTTTGTCCCTAAGCTATTTCCTAGAAATTCATTTAAGTTGTTTGTTATAAAATGAAAATACAATCCCTCCCCTTTGAGCTTAATACATTCGGCCATCACAAGGAAGAGAGAAAAAAAATCCTATTTTGTGTTCAAAGTTATTTTTCTAAAGTGTTAGAAATATGCACAAAATATTATAAAGAAATATTTATAAGATAAATATTTTACTATATATTTATTACTCCCAAAGTAGTATTATTATAGTTTTTACTATCATATATTAAACTTGCTAGCACATGTTTAATCTTGGACTCCAGAGCAAGTTCGTGTGGATACGTTGGAGGCTTCATACATTTGGCGCTACGTTCATCTCCTCATACGTTTTTCACCGTTAAGGTAAATTTCTTACTATAGCTAGTAATTTACGTAAGTTGTTCTTGGGTGGAATCGAGTTTTGGACTATAAATTTTTGTTTTCCGCTGCGTTATCCAAGCCTCGTTTCCCAACACGTGGGACACGTAAGATTAACGGAAGTAGTGTAGCTCGAGAGAGTTTCTCGGGAGACTGGATTAGCCACACGTTGTGGTGAACCAGTATAAATCTTGGTGTGCTCCCTTTACGCTTTCTACGCTCTTTACTTTTCACGTTCTTAATTTTTTATTCCTGCGATATCTATGATCAAACGCTATTGATAAGTTCATTTTGTTCTTATTTTATTCTACATATTTTAAGCGTTATTGCACGAAAATAGTGATAAGCAGTGCATAATTTTATGTTAAACTGAACAATATCTTTGATTTATTCTTTAAGGAATAATAATTGGTTTAAAATGTGTCTAGTCTTGAGTGTTGATTTTTCTACTTATATTTGAAAGAAAGAAAAATTTTTAACTGAGATTTTTATCATGAGAATTTTGGAGGAAACTGAAACAGACTGCGAAGCAAAGTGAAAATTGAAAATTGGGCCCGAATTGGATCAAGCCGCGGAAAAAGCCCACAGGAGAAGGCCCGAAGCGTCCAACCTTGGACGCTTTGCGGGTTGGACGCTTCCCCTTGGACGCTTGGCGATGATTGGGCGTCAAGAATGACACGTGGCAAGCAGCGAATGGACGGGCTGCGTAGGGCATCCAACTTTGGACGCTTTGGATCTGGACGGCTAGGGGTTGGACGCTTCGCGTCTAATCCTATAAATACAGCACTCCCTCTCTCCGATTTAACACGCTACACAGCGCCCCTCTTCTCCCAAAAACCCGAATTTCTCCGTTTTTAGTCTAGATTTACAAAGCTACTTTCATATTTTAGATTAGTATTATTCTTTGGAGTTTTCACAGAGCAAATTGTAGCCCGGATCTCAGTTCTTCAGATTTTTTGAAGTAAGTTTGTTAACTTTTTACTATCAACTGAAAAATGTCTTCTTATGATGCATGTGTGTTGGAAGTTTTTATTATGAGTAGCTAAATTAATTGGTGATGTGATTATTGGAATGGTGATGGTAATTTTCTGAGAAAATCATTGAGTTGAATTATAAAAGGAAATTTACTAGTTTTTATTACTGAGAATTTATACTTGAGATTTGTAAATCGAGAGAAAGAAAATATATTTTTGAAAATTATATTTCTTGAGAAATCTGGAATTTAATTAAGTCAAGTCCAGTAGTTTGATAATTGATCTTTAGACATTGGATTGATTGTTAAGTAAATATTTGAAAAGATGTTTACTTACTAGTAAAAAGGTTTAAGGTAAAAGTAACTGGTGATTTTACTCTAAAAAGAACCATCACCTAACCAATAATTACATCCCTACCTTTTATTTCTGAAAGATAAAAATTCAATCTCCATTCCTTATTTGACCTTTTGAAAACTTTTTGATTCATTGAGTAAATCTTGTCTAACTAGTCTTGCTTATTTTTCCCTTGGGCCGATCCTTGAGACGACACGGGATAAACCGATCTTTTAGAAGATCTAGTCTGTTCCCTTTACTACTACGGGAATTTTGCGTTAAACCAAAATTCTTCACCAAATGGCACCGTTGCCGGGGATTGGCGCAGAATGTTATTAGTAAGATTTCTTTTTAGTTAGCCTGAAAGAAAGTTGATAGAAACGATTTTCAAAAAAAACCCCAAAACATCCTTTTTAGTTTATACTAGATAGTTGTTAGAATTGTTTCTCCAGCCTACAAAATTGTATGAACACCCGTTCTCGCGGTGAGAACATTCTTCCGGGAACCAAGAACCCTGAACTTTTGCTCTGACTCCGTACCGTTAGAATTCCTCGTCAACTGGAGTTCAACGACGAAGAGCGAAGAGAAGAGGAAGAAGAAGAGGCAAATCGCGAGGAAGAGAATCAACACTGAGAGGAGGAAGAGGAACAAGAAATGGCGGCTAATCCTAGACGAACGATCCTTCAAGCCATGAGCCCGGCGTACGTAGAGGAAGATCTCATAGGTCTCCCCGCTAGTCAAGCCCATTCATTTGAAATCAAACCAGCAATGATCCAAATGCTCTCGAATAACCAATTTGGAGGCTCA